TATCAATATTACTCCATACATTGTTGGTATAGGGAGATTAGCCATGGCCTGCATCTCTGTTAGTTCTTCCTTTGCTGACGCATGATGAAGCTGATTATGACAGTGAAGAGCTTCTAATAACCTTTTTTCTCTTTTGCAGGTATTTTTGATAGAATACACGGGTCCGTTGTTCATCTATTTTGTGTTTTATTTCCGCATGCCTTTTATCTATGGCCTGGATGACAGGTTTACCTCGAGCCGACATCCAGTAGTTAAGTAAGTCATGCTTCAAGGCTGGAGGAGTTAAATTCTTGGGTTTCATAACTTAATTCCAAAATGTCTTGCCATATTTGTCTTTTTAGCTTTCTGAAATGCTTTTATCTTGCTGTTTCTAGCTTGGCATGTATCTGCCATTCTTTCCACTACATCAAAAGGTTGATTGAAACAATATTTGTTCATCGGTTCTCCCATGGGACTATGCCACTGAGGAGTATTGTTAAGGTAAATTGTCACAAAATCTACTTGCAGCCCTTGTGTAAAATTCAATTTGGCCACTCCTCACAGACCCACACTAGCCACATTTTTTGGTGCGGCTTTTGGTGGAAGGTACTGCCACGTACTACAAATCTCTTAACACCTCACGTTTTGCCACTTCAGCACTCTAGTTTATTCTAGATTTTTCTGTTACTGCAACAAGGTGTGATGCTTCTGTGTCCACTTAATTCCCTTTTATCATAACCACAAGAAAGATTGACAGCAGGTCTTCTCACTGGGGATTACTCTTCTGTCAGACTAGGAAGAAGAAGATTGTATCACAGTGTGGCCTCCAAGCAGAATTAGACATGAAGCTTGAAATGTTCTTGAAAAAGGCAGTCCTGTGTGATGAATTCTTCTCCTGCCTCTTGTGACTTTCGGACAGTTTTACCCATGCTGTTTCCCCGTCTGCTAGTGGCAGCCAGTGATATGTAGTTGGGTCAGAGAAATGAATAGTGTAATGACATTATGACCCAGGTAGCTGTCTAAATGTTATCATAAGAGAAGGAAGAGCTCTTAATGGGGGATGCCATTTTCAGTAGCAGTTCCGTGTCTAGTTCTGATTTCCTCCTGCTCTTGGTCTATTCCATGCTCCTTGGGGTCATCCTCAGTGGCCCCAGCTGCACTTAGGGCTACCAATCTAGTGCATTTTTTATCCTGCCTCCAAGGAGCTCAGAGTAGTATACAAAAAGCTCTCATCAACCAGGGCCGGCTCACCTGCTAGGCGAACTAGGCATTTGCCTAGAGCGTGGGCTGGACCTTAGGGTCCCAAACTGGACCCGCCTCCCCGCCAAAGCCCCCCAGCCCCCGCCAAAAGCCCTGCATCTCCCTGACCACCACCGTTGCCTCTTTCTCCCTGAGTCCGGCAAGTGCTGAGCGGCAGCAGCGGTGGCCACAGAGGCAGGGCTTTGGGCGGGGGCTGGGCCGGGTGCAGTTTGGCACCCTAGGGCCAGCCAGTCAGTGATTTTTTAAACGTTCTTTTAAGAGCACTATAGCACTATAACACAACACCAAAACAGCACAGTAGTGACCGCATTGGAATGCCTGGACCACTGAGATACATGCGATCACTACATTTCAATGGAGTACAATGCCATTGAGTCCTCCCCCCACAGCATTTGCTATATTCCTGGGAACTGATATCTGTAGGCAGGAGATAAGCTGTAACTCTGCAATGCTCCCTCTAAGCTGTGGAGTCTTATGAGCAAAAATTCCACTTTGTGAGCTACTGGCATTAGAATTGTGAGCAAGTTATTTGGCTACTGCATAACTTAGTTTGCTCTGGAGCCATTCTTCCTGAGCTAAGACAAAAATCTGTGAGCTGGAGGCTAAAAAACTGTGAGCCAGCTCACACTAACTCAGTTTAGAGGGAACACTGGCTGAAAGTACAGGGGATCCCCAAGTCCTCCCTGGAGGCATCCCAAAATGCTGGCCATCAAAAGGAGGATGCTGTTTGCAAGCCGGGAAGGAGCTAGTGTTAAAAAAAAAATGCTCTCAAACTGTGCGTTCCCAAGCTTCCACTTCCTATTTTTAAATCCCCCAATCTCATGTATCTCAATGGAGTCCAGGTATTCCAATGGGGCCGCTATTGTGCTGTTTTGGTGTTGTTTTATAGCACTATAGCGGTCTTAAAAGTACATAAAAAAAAGACAAAGATTGCCCACGCGGGCGAAAAAGGGCGGGAAAACAAAGCGGCGCACTCTGAAATGCCAAACTGCTTCAGAGACGGCTCCGTACCGGTAGGGGAAAGGCTATGTGAAATGGCCGCCCCTGAACTGGTTTACTCCAAGACGGTACAATAACGGTTTAAAAAGGGTAATCTGAAATTCCCCACTCTCAGACACATGCTACAGGGGTGCTCTATCTCCTTCCTTCTGGTTGTTAGCACTCTTCTGTCCCCCGTTTTCCAGTCCCTACACAACTTGCATGTGGCCACAAGCTCAGCACATTCTTATTGGAGCTGCGGCCAGGAAAAATGGTCATGTTTCCTGCCGACTTGTAGTGCTTTGGTTCCACATTTTAGGCTGCTGCTTGTCCTTACAGCTTGTTTTCTAATCTACTGAACTCTCCCTCACCCCACATAAGAAGAGAGCCTGAGGAGGTCAATATCTCTCTTTGGATCTCCACCCCACATTTTTAAGGATGCTAAGTCTTGAGACACTGCAGTATTGTTGGCAAACATTGTGAAATACACTTAGAAAGTAAATGTGAACTTTGCTTTCAGGGGGAGAAGAGAGATCATTCCTCCTTTTCTACTACTTGTGCTCTAGTTTCCCACAGAATCATTTACTTTGTTGTGACTTCCATTGCTTGTAGAGAGGGAAGCTGGGCAGAAATTAACTACTAGTTGGACACTTCGTCTCATTCCAGCTTAACTCTCCTATCTAGCATTCTTTTGCGTGCTGAACTTAAACCTGATTGGTCATTGGTTTCATTCTGTGATGAAGTGGAAATTTCCACTTTGATGTTATGCACAGAACATGGTCTACATTAAAGACAAATGCGTTAGCCAAGTAGTTCTTATTCTGAGTTGACCAGATGGTCAACTGGGAGCAGGGGAGCAATAGGAGCTATTGAACACATGAAGCTGCCTTATACTGGGTCAGACTGTCAAGGTCAGTATTGTCTACTCAGACTGGCAGCTTCTCTCTAGGGGCTTCAGATAGTTTTTATATCGTGGACTATTTGATTCTTTTTTTGGACTGGAGATACTAGGAGTTTGAATCTGGGACCTTCTGTATTTAGAACAGATGCTCTCACCTCAAATTTCCTGCCTCCTATCAATCTACTTATTTCTAATCTATAGGTTGTTTTATGAGTTGATCTCTGGCTTTCTTTCGTGAACATCCACAGATCTGTCTTGGGAAATATTTGATATTCCTGGTTTGTGGAAGCCTTATGCATTTGATACTTTTTTTGTGTGAACACTCCTTGACAGAACTTTGTTTTTGTGAACAGATACTTTTTTTGTGTGAACACTCCTTGACTTTCAGCCCTAATGTATAAAGCATCCTAGGGCCAATCTACACATTCAGAAAAATCATGTTAAGCAACCCTCCAGGGTCTTGGTTGAAGGAGACTGTTATGTTAAAAATTCCCTGGAGGAAGTACAGCATACCCAAGGAAAGGAGAGACTGAAGCCATTCTCCCTAACAGGGTAACTTTCATCATACAGTGAAGGCTTGTTCAGTTGCTTTAAAGAGGGAAAGTTTTGAAATGTGTGATCTCTCACCTAGAGCGTGAAGTGTTTTTACTGGACATGTTCTTAATATAACCAGTTCTTTTGTCAGCTGAAAACTTTGAATGGCAAGTACGAAGTATGTCAATGTTAATCCACCTTAACTGTTTGTTTTTAACATATTCTGGAAACAAATTCATCTAGAAACAAAACAAAAGTGCTTAGATTGTGCTTTTCAAGCAGTGTTTCAGATGGCAATCAGCAAGTTCTGTTTTGCATTCATTTCTGTAAGGGTTCCCAGTTTGTATTGATTGTATAAAGTCAGTACTACTAATCTTTTCTTCTGTGCTAATTTATGTGTCAGATTTTACAGTTCCTATATATTTGGCCTGTACCTTCCAGAGTGCACTAGTGAACCCAAACAGTATTCTAACAAAGGGCACTTTGACACTCAGGAGGTACTTTATGTGAGCAGAACAGGGGGCCCACGTGTGTGCCGTTTTCCCTACTCCTCCCTATAATACAACCTGTTTCTTGCACTGCATACATCTGGTTCTGATATAATGGCACCCCACCGCAAAAGCACCCTAGATGTATCCCAGGTTGTTGCTGGGCTCCCACTACCAAAGTGCTAACTGGAGGGGGGGGGACACTGTTTGAGATAGCTAGACCTAGGTGTTTTTTGAGTGGTTGTGGGGGATCAGAAAAGGGCTGTGGTTCCCACGTAAATCACGATGGCCGATAGATACCTTGTGCATGGAGGAAATGATGAATGGTGTACCTGGACAGCTGCTGCTGTGGGGGATGGTGGTGGCCCCACTTCCAAGGCTGAACTTATATCTGAAGCAAGTTATAGGCTTTATATGCACACAGTCTTTTCCCAGAAAAATATATATCTATTTGTGTTTTTTACTTATGTTTCCAGGTACACTTTGATTATTGAGTGGTAGTCAACTATTGCAGAGGATCTTAGTCATGCTGGGGGGGGGGAAGAACAGCTCTTTTTGCAGGGATGGAGTTCAAAAGATTATTGTTGGTTGGGCTGGGCTGATATTTTCTTGAAGAAAGTTTAGAGAACAGTAGGTTGGATCCTGTAACGCCTGAGGACAAAGGCACATGTGGATACACATGTGGATTCCCCCCTCCCCCCATGTCCATTTCTCTGAGATCCAAAAAGGCAGCATTAGAAGATTTGTGTGGACAAAAGGCCTCTGAGCCTGAGAGGGCTGCAGTGAGGAGGGGGAACTGGGCAAAATCACCCCCATGTTCCTCTTCCAGCCGTGGTGCTTCTGTTGGTGCAAGAAGTTTGGTTGCAACAAGTTTGACCAGCTCCTCTTCCTCAGTGCAGCCCTCTGGACTGCATAGTTTTTGTCCACATGGGTCCCACAACCTCCAGCATTAGCTACGTCTTAGGAGGTTGTGGGAGAAAGGAAAGTCTATACCTGTCAGTATTCCATAACATGCAACCCATAATGTATAAAATGGAACAATACAGTGTAATAGCACAGGGCTGGATCCAGGCTGCATTTTCCACCAGCTAAACAGAACTTCCCTTCTTCTCTCCTCCCACTGCAGCCCACTGATCTTGGAGGATCAGTACCGCAATTCTTTTTGGGAAGGGAACCCTGAGGAACAACATGAGGGAGGCCTGCAGTGGGAACTGGGAATTGGTGGAAATTGCCGATTTAGTTGAGATACAACCTATTGTTTAGTGTAGCTGTCATTAGCAATTCCTATTACATGAAAATGGCTCAGTGAGTACTGATGCAAAGTATAATTCTTGTTACAC